CCATGGTAATCCTGGTTTCCCTGGTTCTCGGCGTATTAGCCACATGCTGACTTTCCAATTGGCCTTAGCAATTTGCAGGGAGAGAACGGGCAGCAAGGGAGTTGTGACAGAGATGGGGCTGCCCAGCAGTGCTGTTAACAGGGTCTCTTTTCCTTACTGCTGTCACGTGGCCTATGCTGGCATGGTCATTGTTTCTCTATCAAATAGCAGGGATCTGTAATTTCTGAACACCTTACAATTCCTCTTTTGCTTCTTCTTTTCACGCCGATCAAAATCTGCATCTGCAAGAACATGAATCCCATGTAGGTCATTGCTGAGATGTGCCTAGAAGAGATGTATCTATAAGAGAACAGATAGCTGTCAGTTTCAGCCATCTCTCACCAGCCTTTCCTGATACTCCCTGAATGTCCAAAGTGATAGCATGACAGCAGCTGGCTCAGTCCTGGAACAGTTTGTAGTCGTTAAGATAATGGTGGCCAGTTCCTTTGGGTGCCCGTAGCCTTAGTGAAGGGCTCCTTTGTGACCGCACGTGGGATGTTTCCCATCTGCCTGCCCCACACTCCTGGTATAAAGCCCACATGGCCAGAGCTTGAAGAGCACTTGTGTGTGTTGCAGCTCCATCCCTGCAGCTGGGTGTTTATGGTTCGTAGAGTGGGGACTCCGCTTAGGTTGGCCTGTGTCAGTGCAAATGTTGCACAGAGGCAAAGTCAGAGATGATCCTTTCTGGGGGAGCCTACTGGCTCAGCAATTCACACACTGGGAGGAGAAATGGCCTGTGGTACCAGCCATAAATGATTGGTGGCTGGCTCAGGGATAGAGCTCGGTGCCCTTTGGCATGCTGAACGCTGTAGCTGCCTCTTTTGTCAGTTGTACTCTTCTGGGAACAATTATCATTATTTTTGTGGACTGTCCTTCACCCCTGCTTTTTACCTACATATATTGGACTGTGGCTGAGACAGCTGGTGGATGGCCCTGCTCTGTGGCACCATTCAAGGCGTGACTGGCTTTGGGCCCGCATCTTCTTCCAAGCAAACTTTAGACTCAGCTTTCATCCTGCTTCTGCCTTGCTTCTAGCATTGCCCTTGGTGAACAGATCGCCCTTCCGTGCCTGGTACTGGCTGTAGCTCCAGTGTCTGTCTCAGAGATCAACCTTTAAGGGTCAGAAGCGAGAGGGGATGGTCGGGGTTTGTCCATCTCATCCCTTTATTCCTTGGTGTAATGAGGGGAGATCCCCAATAGATGGCACTTGAACCTCTTCCCTGACAGGTTGTTTTTTTTATGCCTCTAACATGGGGATGTTCAAACTAGCATCCGCATAGATGCAGCATGATCCTGCTGTGGCACAGTGCGCAGGGGAGGGAGGCTGAAGAGCCGTTCAGTGTGCAAGGTGGGCCGAGCAAATTCCCCGGTGACTTCAAAGGGTGAAAACAGCATCTCTTTTCTTCTGAGAAGGCTTGGCCAGGCCTGCCTAATAGGGCCTTCTGCACCCACACGCATTCCTGTTCTTGCATCTCACAGTGTCAGTGGTACACCGTGGGCAGGATAAGCTGCAGAAGGTATTAGACTGTCCTCCAGGCACAACGGGAAACACAGCTCAGAGGGAATCTGTCCATTAAACTAATCCTTGCTGCATTGTCTTCACCTCTCCTGTCTGTCTCCCCTATTGTACTGTTTGGCCAGGATTCCCACAGGGGAACGTCTCCAAAGGAAAATAAGATGTGGCACACCAGGAGCTAAGGCAGTTCTCCAAGGCTGTCTTCCCCATGGCAGCAACAGGCAGGAACATGTGGGTATTATGAAAGTGACCCAGGATCCTGGCTCAGCTCACAGCCCCTTGCTCTCTCCCTGTTACCACAATGCTATGTGTTCTTGCAGAGGGAGTTTGCCATTTGCCTCCCTTCTGTTCCTGGTCTGGCCATAAGGAATTTAAAGGGATCTTCAAGCAATGCTGGAGCAGGTCTGTGGGCTTACCATAAATGTTATGCCATGCATTTTTCATGTTTTTATCATGTCACCAGAGGGAACTTGGCCTCTTTGACTAAGGTTGAGATTTGGATTTGGTTTGAACCCAGTAGGCAGATCAAAACTCCAGGGGTGAGAAACCCACAGGAGCCAAAACCAAAGCAAAGGGATCACATGAGATGCTTGGGAAGTGAAACCACTGAATTTTGCGTAGCTCAAGCAGTGTGATCTAGTAACAGGCTAGATTACAGTCTGGGGCAGTCTGGGAGCCCACGGCTAGGGGCCAGCAGATACCACTTCTATTCTTGGATCTTCCACAGCTTTCCTCAGTGACCTTCAGAAAGTCAAGTAACCCTTCCCCTGTCTTAGTTTTCTCCTTTGGGAATAATACTATTACTTACCCCTGGAAAACATTTTGCTATCCTTGGATAGCAGTTACTTGGAAACGTTCTGCAACCTCTGTGTGTGTGGAGGAGCAACACCTCCAGACCTCTCAGGAAGCTTTCTTTCCAGTATATGATGTAGCAGCATGACTTGTCATCTACTGGGAATCCATCTAGCATGTCGAGCCTCATCCTTGGGGCAGAGATCACATAAGAGTTGCAGCAGTAGGTTGTAGCTCTGCTTTCTGCAACGATTTTTTTTTTTTCTCTGGGGCTCTCTAGTTGCTGGTTGCAGCAGTGTGTCACCGTGCCTCGTTCAGAGGAGATGCTGGATGCTGTGGATCAATGGAGAGCTTGTGATCTGTCAATCAGTTGCTCCTGGTGTTGCAGTTGCAGAGCAAGAGAGAGGCTCCACTGGTACTTTACCAGTGCGAGATGCAAGGTTAGCTGGAGAGGAACTTGGGAGTGTGTTGTGGACACTCAATATGAGAAAGACTGGAAGCAGGTGTGCAGAACTTAACCCCCAAAAGACCTGGATGAACCTGATGTTGGTGTTCCTGGCTATTCTGGTTATGTGAAACACAAAGCAAAAAAGAAATGTTGTCTCTGCAGGCATCTGCTGAAACACATGTAAGCAAAGGTTTCAGAAGCAGAGTTAATACAAGGATTTATAGTATTAGCTTCTCTCACATCACAAGTGCCATGACAAAGCCTCATCAGTACTTGCTTTTGCTGTTTGTCATTAGCAGCGCTGGCCCCAGAGCAGGTGAGGCAGCCCAGCATGAACCCAACACCAGGCTGTGGTCACTGCCGCTGTTTTGTGCCTTGGTGGGGTGGTGTGAGCTCAGGCTGTCAAGTGTTGCAGATGGGGTGGGAGGTTCTGTTCTTCTCTGCTTCAGGGAGCTTTTCCAGCTTCATCTTTCCTAAGATAAATGACTAGGCCCTGGCATGTGCCCATCTCAATCCTTCAACCTGGAGAGCTCAAATATGGGAAAGCAATCATACCCAGTAGTTTAAGCTGACTGTGGTTTATGGGTCATCCCTTACAGACCATGACGAGGAAAGCTAGTGGCTCCAGTGCCAGAATAAGAAATGAATAAAGGCCTGGGGAATTTGGCTTTATAAGAAAAAAAATGAATCTTCTTAAGCGATATTCACTAGGGTAAGAAAATGATGAAAGATTCTCCGTTGTTGGGCTTTGGGACATACCTTGATTATTGGTTAGGGATCAGGAGTAATTCTTACCTAACATTAGATGGTTTACTGCAAATCTATATGAAGGATTTCTGCTTTCATCTGGTATTTACTGTCTCCCATTGAAGGCAGGATGTTAGACCAGCGATCTGCTAATGTGCACTATTCCTTGTTTCCCTGTGTTCATGCAATAAGGAAACCAGAGGTGCCTATAACAACATATGGTTGCTTAGAGTCGTAAGATCGGATGGTGATTTCAAATTGGTGTGAACTGGAAAAAAAATAGGTGACAGTAAGTCCGTGGTGTGAATGCAGAACTCACAGAACAAGTATGGTTTAACAGATGAGATAGTTTCCTACTGCAGGCGTCTTCTAAGAAGGCACTATCTGAAAAGCAGAAACGTTTTCTGCCTCAGACTCTGTGCCCGCTGTACTCCTTCAAGAAAAATACTTTGCCAACTGGACCTGAACCGTGTCCCTTTTCCCGGCAGCGAAGATGTTCTCTTTCTTTCCCACAGTCAGCATTTTATGAGTGCTCTTTCCTTATCTCATTAGAGGCGTGCTGGCTGAGAACGGGGAACCGATACCTTAACTAGCCTGTGCTCCTCTGGAATTTGTACGCAACTGGAGACCCCCTCAACGCTTCCGAACTTGTCCTGGGAGGAAGGCTGGGACAAAAGGTACTGCTGGCCCCGGGGACTGGTACTGGGCAAAAGGGACCTTTCCTCCAGACACGGGGAGTTTCTCTCTGGGAGGGAGTTGGCAGTGGGTGAAAGCCCTTTGTTGTTACTGCTGGCAAATGTGCCGGTGGCTTCCTGTGGGTCCGAAGTGGCAGGGAGCCTGTCAGCCAGTCGGTCAGTCCCCGACAGCCGTCCTGGCTGCGTGGCCAGGGCGGTGCTGGAGGCCGGGCCGTGGAAAGGGAGCACCTCGCCGGTACCCGAGGGCGGTGGGTGCAGCAGGGGCCGGTGCCCTCCCGGCCCCGCACTTGCGTTCGCTGTGAGAAAAGGCGGTGGCGAGTGTCCCTGCGGCCGCGGGCCCTTTGCCGGCTCCCTGGGCGGCTCGAGGGACTGGCGATGGGGTACAGGAGTCCTTCCCGCGGATCCGTGCTCGGAATCTGGGGGGCAGGACGGGCGGGTCAGGGCATCCCCTCGCCCTCCTGGGGCGAGCGGTCCAGCACCAGCAGTTGTCGGTCTGCTGCGTGCCAAGCAGAGCCCGCACGGGTCGGGGACCCGGGAGCGCCGCCTGGGACGGGCCGCTGCCGGCCCCGCATCGGGCCTGCGCCAGCCCGGGCCCCGGCCCGATGCGGGCATCTCCGGGCCGGAGGAGCGGGCACCGGCGGTCACGCCGGCGGGGCCCCTTTAAGCGGAGGCCCCTCCCCGTCCCGCCCCGTCCGGCCAATGGGCGCCGCGGCTGCCGCGCCGTTTGTTACAAGTTTCCCGTCGCGGGCAGGGTGCGGGGCGGTCGCGGCGGTGCGGGAGCCGGGGGACGGCGTGCGGGAGCCCGGCGGCGGCGGGGCGCGATGCCCGATGCACCGCCTGGGCCGCCGGCGTCGGGGCTGAGGGAGGCAGGCGGGAGCGCTGCCGCGAACGCAGCCCGGGGCCTCGGCTAGGGAGCTCTGCCGTCCCGCAATAAACACTCTGCGCCGAATGGGTCTTGTCCCTTGCAGCACGCTGCCAGCTGGTACCTCCCTCCTTTCTGAAGCGTAACCGGGGAGGGGGGTGGAAAGCGAAGGAAGTTTGGTATTTATTTTTTTCTTTAGGCTTTGGAAAGGGATTCCCTCTCCCTCCCTCTGCGGAGGGCTGTAGGACGGAGTGCGGTGGCGGAGGAGAGGGGCACAGCTGGGAAGGGGGCTGTCCGGAGCCTTGTTCCCCCCACCCCCGTCGCCTTGTACCTGGGGGTGCTGGATGTAAGCTCTGCGGAGCTCCTCCAAGCGTAACAGCAGCGGCTCGGCAGATGTAGATGCGGGCGTGTGTGTATGCTTAACCCTTTCTTGGCTCCTCGGATTTGTACCATGCTGAAGATCCTCACCAAAAAGCTCAGGAACCAGAGTTTGAATGAAATTCAACCTTTCCAGCTAAAGGTAAGAGCAGGCGGTTTTGTCTCGGTTGTTTTTTGCACCCTTCAGCTTACTAATAACGGGGCCTTGAGAAGCTAGTAACTTGCAGTGTTTATTATGCTGGGCCAGTTTCCTCTCAGCCAGTGTGCTCAGCAAGAACTGGTTTAGGGTGTATTCCACTTACTAAAGTCCTGTTCCTTTGCTCTTTGAGTTACACTGCACAGTTCAATAGGTAATACAGAAAGGTGAATAAAGGCAGAAGTTCTTTAGAAGTATTTTTTAATGGGGTTCACATTTAGCAATATAGGCATTTGCCTGTCAAGTTACCTTTGTATGTGTGCAGTCTGTAGTCTCTTAGCTCTCACTAGGCTAGAACCCCTCTGTGCTAGGTACTGTACAAACATGATTTGCCTAAAATGCCTTTCGGCTTGTTATTTGCATTTCTTTCCCTTCTGGTCCTGAAGGCTGGAATCTGAGCTGAAGTTTGCAGTCGGGCTCCGTGCATTGACCCATGGCTTTCCGAATGCTGCTTACACCCTTAGTGCTTAAAAGAAAAATGAAGATCACAGATTCAGGATAAGGGATATCTAAGCCCTTCCTGCCAAATGCAAGGAGGAATTTCTAAGCCATATGCAATGAGATAAAAATGGAGTCGTGATGATTTACTTACAAAAAATGACCATATCCTGATTTGGCAAAAGTGTTGTGAACCAAGGGATACTCTCTGAAATCAGCAGGGTTACTCTGAATCGGCATCAGTACTGCAGGAAGCGTAGTGCCTGGCCTCAAATCAAAGAAGGGATCTGGGAAAAGTAGCAGCCCTCATTGCCCAAGTTGGGGGCTGGGGATCCATATACCAGACTCTAGTGGAGTCTTTTGTATGTGTTACACAGAGGCGAATTGCTGTGTGGCTGCACTTCTGCGCAGTCACTCCAGACAGACTGATGGCAACTTTGTTAGAAACAGTGCTGCTGTTTCCTCAAAGTTCGCTGTGTCCTTGCAGTTCTTCCTGCAGGGATTGCGCGTTCTGTGGTTCTTAGGGGAGGCAGGTGTAGATTTTATTTTTGGAAATAATGTCAATACTTTAGGTTATGGTGGATGGATTTAGTGCAAAATATCTCTGCAGAGGTGGTGGGGGAGTTCTTTTGAACGCTGTTTCTGGGCCTTGTGGCTGCAATTGCCTCCTTTAGCTTTATTGTTTGTCTCTTTGGTGCCTCAGGTTGTGAAACTGAGAATCTTTCGAAGAAGCTGTCAGGGGTATATACAGCCTTCAGCTGCGTGGAGGCGTGCAGGAAAAACCACAGGAGTGGGTATCTGCAGCCATTTTGTTCATATTAGTGCCATGGTCTTGTGCTTCAAACAGGTGGCCTGCGTTTTTGCAGGCCCGGTAGAGAAGAAAGACTTAAGCTTGCACTGTTTCTTCTAAGGCTAATGCATAGACCATCAGAGGTAGCTTTGCAGCCTGCCATGGAGAGTGGTACAATGACTAGTATACATGTGTATGGGCAGAAAGCCAGACTTTCAAACTCTGGGTTTATATATGGTTTGTAGGCCTTTAGGGACCATATGCAGCTGCCTGGTCTTGGTTGAGCCTTGTACCAGCATACTAATCGCTTAACAGAGCATGCAGTGCTCTGTCTTGGGTGATGGGCCACATCTCCTTGCAGGTGTGGTCATGGGATGAGAGTCACAAGCTGTGAGCTGTGTGGGAGCTTCCCGTGGTTGCACTGTGCATGGACTCTGTGACAAGGCCAAGTTTCACTCTACTCCCTCAGATGATGTGGGCTGCCAGACACAGACTGGACTTCTGCCTTCTCAAACTCCATGTGCTGGTTGGTGCCCGTGCAGGTCTTTGCCTATTCTGGCATGTATGGTACATGCATTATGTAAAAGGTTCAGCCTGCTGTCACTGAAACTTAGTGAAAAGTTAGTTAGGTGTGAGTATAGAATCAGGCCTGTAGTAGTATGAATGGAGAATGAGCAACTAATTCAGATAGAATAAGAACTGATCTGCATCCACCACCTAAACAAAGAGCTTTCTGAGCTTTAAAATCAGTGTGCTTCGTTGCTCTTCTCCTTCATTACCCACTTGCTTTTGCACTTTATGACCTTTGTTGGAAGTTCCCAAATTCAAGGGAAAACAAACTGCTGTTGTGTTTCTGGCTTGCAACAGTGTTGCCATTAAGTCAAGTCCCAGGAGACTGTCCTTGAGTAAATTGTCAACTCATTTTTGTAAGATTGGGAGGTTTGACCAGCTTTGGATTGGCAACCAAGCTTTGGGAATCTTTTCAGGATGAAATTTCTACCTGCTGTGAAGATCTTATTTTGCTGCCAAGTGTCCTGAATTGGTTTAGTGTTGCTGTGGTAAGTCCTCATAGCTTTTCTCCACTTGGAGAAGCTGCCACTGCCTCCTGCAAGTAAATCCAGGAAATAAGCAAGTTTTGGGTGCTGATGTAATGAACTCTTCTTCCCTCCCCTACTGAAGTTGGTCTTTAGGCAGTTGACAACTGAGGCTGCTCAGAGGGCTTTGGCTCAAGAGGTCTGCTAGTTTGTGCTGGTGTTGCTGAGGAAGTTGCTGTCCCTTTATTGCCATTTCACCAGTAGTCACCATAATGGGATGGGACTGATTAGACTGACCATGTGCTGTTGGATTAGCATGCACTGCCATCAGTTTCTGGTAAGGGTGGCTGGGCTATGAAGTGTGGTAGTTGGGGTTCACATTTGCTTTAGCCTTGGTAGACTGGTCCTGCTGACCTTGCTGTCTCCCCACTGGACATTTGTGCCCCTGTAGCAGGGGCAGCTCAGTGACGGCATGTCCAACTTCTGTTGTGGTTCATAATCCTGCCCATTGGCTTAGAGTCCTTCAGCTGCTGCAGCTAAATCCAAGAGAAGGTTTTGAATTGGAGCCTTGTGCCTCAGCCTGTTGTTCCACCTCTTGCTTCAATGGTCTGGTGTTATTTGCTAGAGATTAGGCCAGATTCAGAAACCTCCAGTTTTTGGCTGGCTCTTAGAAATTGAGAGCCAAAAGCAGATCTGACTACAGGTTATGGCTCATCTTTGACAACAATTGGCAACTGGGTGTGTTCCAGAGCAGACTTTGTGGGACAGGAAAGAAGAGTGAGAACAGGGGATTGTCCCATACTGCAGTGGAATGCTTCAAATAAGGAAAGTAAGAGAGGCCTGTAACTCAAGGCCCGAGTTTTCAGTTGATTGTCCAGTGTTACAGTCTAGTACAGTATTTTATTATTTTCTTTCATAGTTTTGGACTAGTAGCCCTTGGAAGCCCTTCCTGAACTATAAATTAAACTGTTCAAGGAACTTTTAAAATGAATATCCTGGGGTTGCACATGGGTTTGTGATGGAATACTGATACTGAGCCCTTAAAAGTACTCTCCAGGCAACTCGCTGAGCTCTCTACAAATGAAACATCTTGTTCATCCCAGCAACTTAGGGTAGGGGTTTTTCAGACAAATGCATTTCTTCCAAATCCCTCTTCAACTCTTGTGCCCTTGCATATTTGTATAGTGGCTAAAGTGTAGGTGTCTATTTTCTAAGCTTTGCTTGCAAGCAAGCTCCTTGGGGCAGGGAGCATCTGGTTGGAACAAGTCTGTGCATTGCCAGTCAAACTAAGCCCTTAATTAGTGGCCCTAGGTATTATCAGAATGAAACAGTTGAGTTGTGGTGTGTTAGAAAATTAACTGGCTGGAACATGTAGCTGAAGAAAACTGAGCACTTTAAGGGTGGCAATTTCATTCCAGCTCTGCTGTCGACACAAACAGTTTAGGAGGCAATACAATTGTTGTTCTAATCCACAGAAGTTGTTAAATTACTTATGTACTTAGCATATTCCTTTTGTCCCAGGCAGAGGTGCTTAAGACATATTTGTCATTTCCATAACGTTGATTGATGAAATGAGCTCCTATGTGAGCCTGCTCTGGTGACAGAACTGTGTTTCTCTGCTATGTAATTTAGCTTTATGCTTGCTTATGAGGGAACTGTGGACTAGCCACTAACAGGGCTACTACATCAGTTCCCTTCAGGGACCCTTTCAGCATGTATGTGTCCGCACACAGTGCTGGGGACCAGCAAGTCGTGTCAGTTATTTTCTGCTGGCATCTGCATCTGAGTCAGCTATGGGACTCTGGTTGGGCTGGCTGGCCCTGACAAGCGACTGGGAATCAGCTTGATCCTTCTTATATGAAGGGGTTCAGCTGGCTGTGCAAAGGGAACCTCGAGCTCACAGGTGGTGGCTTCTGAGTCGCTGTCCTGGCAGTAGCTGGTGATTCTGCAGAGCCAGGAGCATGTCACTTAAACTTTTCCTCCTCAGACCAAAAAAGAGTGAAGTAGCATTGTTATAACTGATGCACAGTGGGTGCACTTCAGAAGATCTGTGTAACGGCTCATGCTTTGTATGAATGAGGACAGATTAATTTCCTTCTTTCTTTGGATTGACTTGTCACGTGCTCAGCCAGCCACCGGTCTTCAGGCTGGCTGAAGACAGTTTGGCACAGTGAAAATTTAGCTTTGTCTCCCGTGGCGTATGAAGGTTTTCTCTTCGTGGATTTTTTCAGCACATCCCACCAAACAGGTTCACTCTTCTAGGGCTGGAGGACTTTGGTTTACATCGAAGCTTTGCTTTTCCTCCTATTAACACCTGGTAACATTAGATGCTTCTGGTTTGTTTGTCCTTATCTCACTTATGAGGGGACAAGCACTTGCATTAATGTAACTGTGTAAATACAATTTTGACTATTGGAGTATCTATGAATATGCCTAAATTTAGGCCTGTGATAATTCGGACTAAAATTATGTTAGTGGGTTAGAAACACTGTGATAGATACTTAGCAAAGACAGAATAGAACAGGCAATGCCAGCCACTCAGAAACCTTACTTTTTTGAGACTTGTGCATGAGACATTGTACAATTCTATTTGGCTTCTAAATTCTGAATCTTCAAGGGTTGTGCAGACATCCAGCACCTATAATCTCCTGTAATGACTTAATTCCAGAAAGTAGGACTTCAGA